ATCCATTTCCCGTGAGGACATGTGGACAAAGGCCACGATCCTAGGCCTCTCCCAGCATTTATTATCTTGTCAAGAAAAGGGAGGGGTTGCTCAGAGATGAGTGATAGGATGTCTGAGATAGCTGAGTAACTTGAGCTGGCTGGCCAGGTGCAAGGAAGGCATCTTTGTAATCTGCAGAGATAAAGATATGCAGAAGGGTCAATTTACACAACCTGATTAAGGTAGCAGGGGAATCGTTTTGGGAGGCTGTTGCTTCGGTTTTTGATATGCAAACTCTTGTGTCCTGGGAAGTCATAGCCTCTTATCTTGAGGCTCCTTCCCAGTTGACATCCCTGGAGTCTGCTCTGCCAGCTGAATCCTTTAATGTGGAGAGCACCATGCATTGACATTCCTTGAGCTAATTGCTCTGCGTCTTGCCAGCTCAATCCTGTAATGTAGGAGAGCGTCATGCTAGGAAACAGGGGGCTTGTCTGATGGCCAGACTTTGCATATTACCACCTCGGCTAGCCTTATTTGCAATGCTTAGAGCCAGTTGAAGAGAGGAGGATATTTCCTAGCCAGCCTTTCACATATCAGTATAAGGAAATGAGTCCCCAAGTAATCAAAGTCACACTAATTGTTTTGGATCCAAAGGAAGTCACCGGAGTTGTCTCTCACTCTGTGATGGCTGCACATGAGCACCTGGGCTAGCCTGTTTGCCATGCTCAGAGTTAACTGAAGAGAAGGAAATACCCTAGCCACCTTTTTACATATCAGTATAAGGAAATGAGTCTCCAGATATTCAAAGTCACAGTAATTGTTTCGGATTCAAAGGGAGAGACTGGGGTTGTCTCCCACATCTCTTGATCTGGTCCTTCCTTTCCCTTTTTCTCCACCACCTCTTCCATCCTTTTGATTAATGCCTTTTTATTTTCCTAATGCTTATTTACCTGTAGTCAATTCTTCCTGGTATACCTCATGTTTGGCTCTAGTTTTCCTGTGTGTAGTGAGGATGTTAATGATACTTCATAGAGAACACTGATAAATCTGGCATGCATATTGGGCCTACTGTATTTTGTACATGTGCCCACCGTTCTGTGGAGAATCTGTGTCCTCTGGTTCTAGCAGTGGCACATGAGCGTATCTTACCAGAGCAGGGTAACTACTGGGTCAGGATGGTAGAGAAATGGCAAGACAGCAGTGCTCCATGCTATCATCTGAGTCCCAGTGCTGGGGATTTAGCTCAGTGGCATAAGCACCTGCCTTGCAAGCAGGCAGTTGTGAGTTCAATCCTTGGCACCGTCAAAAAAAAAAAAAAAATTTAGTTTCTATCATCTGAGGCCCTTCCTTGCCCCCCTGGACTTTCTCAGTTAAGCACAACAACAAAGATTTGGGATAAATGGTATATGTAAAGCACTGAGCCCAGGATCTTGCATGCTGATTTTTTTTTTAAATCTCTATTCCCTTGCTATAATACATACCCAACTCAGCCTTCACCCCTCCCACCCTGCCTTCTTGCCTTTCTCCTTCCTCCTCATTATGATCATTGTGTGGGCACGTGGGTGTGAGATGGGGTCTCCTATGTTGCCTTCACGGCCACGCTCGATGATCCTCTTCTTCAGTCTCCCAAATAGCGGAGACAACAGGCTCCACACCCGCCCATACAGACCAGTTAGGACTATTTCCTTATTATTCCCTGCATATTGTCCCTTGGCCTGGGCCACCCTGTCACCAACCTAACAATGGCATTCTACACTGTTCACCAATTCACATCCATCACTGTTCAGAACCAAGCTAAAGAAGCTGCCCATCCTCCAAGCATGCTCCTTGGCTGCACTGCTTGCGACTGTATCTAATTTTTTTGATTTTTTCCCCCTGCGTGCCTCTCGATTTTTTTTCATTCTGCTTGACATAAGGGTAATTGGGGGCTGGAGTTTCTTTCTTTACCTGTGATCACTTATCCCTTCCTAGGTTTTAATCTTGTCATTATTTGTATAGTTTTTGATCAAATGTTTTAAGAATAACAGGACTTCAGCCGGGGATTTAGTTCAGCAGCATAAGCAACTGCCTTGCAAATACGTGGTTGTGAGTTCAATCCCTGGTACAAAAAACACAACCAGAAAGAAACAAACAATAACAGGCTTCAATTTAGAGGGTGTGGTAATCTGTTTCAGACCTTCTGATTAATCTAATTTTTTCCCTTTTTCTTAATACTCTTAAATCATTTGCGTTACAGCATAAAAATATGATTCCAGGGGCTGGGGATTTAGCTCAGCAGCATAAGCACCTGCCTTGCAAGCAGGCAGTTGTGAGTTCGATCCCCGATACCGATAAAAAAAGAGAAAGACAAAAAAAAAAAAAAAAATTAGCTCAAATACAAAGTGCAGGGGAAAAAAATGATTTAGCAACCAAAGACCTATTTTTTGTTATCACACATATTTTATTAATCCAGTGAGTGCAGTATCTGACTGCTTCAGAGGTTTCCTTCCCTGGTAAACTAATGATAATAGTGAAGCGTTAACAAAGATACTGTGAGACACAAGGGAAGAAAGGTGTACACGCGAAACGGAAACTTGTTGTATTTGTTTCCTCTTTCAGTGCTAAACGGTGAAACAGTCTCCTATTCCCAATAAGTAGCTTCTACTTAGAAATGAAGGAGTTAAAAAAAAACCAAACAAAACTACTTGGAATCAAAGGCCTGGGTCCCATCTGTTGAACTTAACCACTGTAAGATTTAATGGAAAGGCCAGGAGCTGATGAATATAAACTCTAAAACAGCTAAAGATGAAAGCGAATTAAATTTAGTGCCTCTGGGATTGTTGATACATGTTCCAAATTTGTTTTTAATGACATAATTGTTCCATGTTACATTTAAGATTACATCACAGTGAACTGCTTATATGTGCAGTTACACTAATAGAAGCCAATTCCAAGTGTCAAAAACGAAAAAGAGCACAACTGTAATGTTACCAGTAAAAAAAAAGTGTTCGCTGAAAATGAAAGAGAAATACTTCGGCTGAATAACGTAATATGAAGACGTTGGGTAGAAAAACCTGAAAAATCACAGCGTTCAGTTGACATTTTCAACAGCATTTAGATCAAGTAGAAACCGGGGCATTTTCTCAAGGTATTATTCATTTTAGTAGGAAAAAAACAACTCCCAATCACATAAATGGGAATTGTGCTAAATAAATTTTGAGAACATTGTTCAAGAAATATGACATTAATCATATGTATAAATGCTTATATTTTACATTTTAGAACAAGAAATGAAATTCAGCATTTTTTGTTTCTGAGGTCTTCAGATATACACTGTTTTTCTGCTGAAAGTAATTGCAATATTTTCTTGCCTCTGGGGCTCTCCCTTTCATAATTAATCATTTCTTCCACACCGTCCCCTGAATGATTATTCCCCCTAGCTTTAAAACACTTGACAGTAACTAACACAATTTCATCTTCTCGGCTTTTCAAAACATTTTCCGGCCCTTGCTTAGTTCTTTAACCATCTTTATTTCTTCTTAAAAATTAGTTAACAGAATTCTTGCCAGAAGATGTATTTATTCAGAAAAAAACTCTGTAGTGCAATTTGGTTTCCTTGCTTTAAACTTTTAAATGTAAAGCTAAATATTTAAAAAATTTTTTGATATTTAAATTCTTAGACTAACAAACACCTGTTCTTCAAAAGTAGCAATATGGTCACTGCAAACATTTAGGAGGTCTGGACCCTAAGATTTCATCGTTCATTCTTCTGACTTTCGAACCTATGTCCTGGATCATCAAAACCAAGAAGAGACTGTGAAAGCCCCACTAACCACACCGCCAGCGCGGGCAGAGGAAATGCTTTCGAGATATGTCATTCATCTTCACATTTTGAAAGCAGCTTATCCATATAGCCTTCGCAAACATCATTAAATATTGGTGCTTGGGATTTCAATCCTGTGAGGTAAGCTTTCCAAGCCGTAGGCAAAGGAACCTGTTTTTTCTTAAATTTATTTTTCAAAATCAAAACAGCCAGTTTGATTACATCTGAAAGTGTGCAGTTGCCATGTGTCAAGCATCTTTTAGGAAGCCGCCGACAAGTGCATTAAATTAACCGACTTGTAGCCAAATCAGGTTTAAGGAGAATGTGTTTCGGGTGCCTACGGTGATAAACGAGTTCCCCGACGTCCTTAAGCAGACTGTCAAACTTTTATGTTTACTATTCTTACAAATGGAAGGGTGGAAGGGATGCCACAGGGCGCAGAGGCAGGTCTGCTCCGCAGAAGGGAGCTGGACGCGCACCTGTGCACCGCAGCCGCGGATCCCGCCCGGCTCCGCTTGCGGGGGGAGGGGACAGACCTCGCCAGACCTTTGTCCTCGGGACCAGGGGTGAGGGCGACTTTCGGGGAGTCGTGCAGTTAGCATCTGCACCCCAAGAAACCACGCGCCAGTTCTGATCTCGCTGTCGCTACCCTGGCTTAACCTTCCTGGGGACCCTCCGGGTCGGAGAGGGTGTGTGTGGGGGGTGACGGCTCCCCCAAACCCCCGCAGGGACGGGGAGAAAGGACCGCAGACCAAGGGAAAGAGTGACAGAGCCCAGGCTTTGCCAGCGGCCCCGCAAACCCGCAGCTCCCGCCCAGCTCGCTCCGCGGGCAGGGCCGGGTGATCCGGGGCCGCAGAGCCGGTTCCGCCCGCGGCCCGCCGCGCCCGCACCGCCCCCGTGAGGCCGAGCTGGGGACGCTGCCCCGTGGCGGCGGCGGCTCCGCTGCGCGCCGGCCGGGCGGGCGGGCGGGGGCATTCCTCCCGTGCCCCCTCTTTCGCGCTCTCGCTCCTGTGCGGCGGGAGAGCCGCGGAGCCGGGGAGGGAGCGAGGGAAGGGGTGGAGGTGGCGGGGGGAGGCCGGAGGGGCGGGTCCTGCCTGGGGGCCGATCCCTCCTCCCCTCGGCTGGGCTCCGTGGCGGCGGCGGCGGCGGCGGCGGCGGCTCCATTCCCCCTCCTCCTCCCCCGGGAGCGGCGGCGGCGGCGGCGGCCGGGCCGGGGCCCCAAGCGTGGGCCGGGAGGGGGGCGGCGGAGGCCGCGGAGGAGGCGCGGAAGGTGGCCGCGTTCCGCTTCTCAGGCCGCGCCGATCTGCTGGGCAGCCCGCCCGCCGGTGCCCAGGGGCCCCGCACGGTGGGGCCGGGCCGGTGGCTGAGGTAATGGGGGCGGCAGCGGGGCCGCACCGAACGGGGGCGGGGGTAGCGGGGCCTACGGGGACCAGCGACCGAGCGAGGCGGGGAACGAGGGAAGTAGAGGGCTTCCCGAATGGGGAGGGGGCGGCGTGAAAACTCTGCCCTGGAGCGAGGGCGGCGGCAGGGAAGGAGAAGGCGGGCGGGGTAGGGAGCTGAAAGGCGAGGACCCCCTCCCGTACCCGCCATCTTGTCTCCCCCCCAAGCTATGGAAGCCAAGCAGCCAGGCCCCGCCCCCGCCACGCTGTCCAATTGGCTGGGCCAGAAGAGAGTCCCGCCTCCTGTGGGATGGTCCCTTGGCCTCCCGGTTCCCGATGATGGGCATGTCAGACGGCCAATAGACCCTCTCCTCCCTGCCCCGCTCGTTCGCTGGCGCTAGCTTTCTGTGAGGGTCGGAGTCGGAGTCAGTGAGTCTCTGGTGCGCTCTCCGTGTTTTGTGGAGAGATGTTGTTTCCCTCTTTTCTCCTGTTCCGAGGGCTGAAGATTCTTCTGGAAAAGGTGCCCCTTTCGAGGGGCAAGGGCCTTGACTGCGACCTTCCCTAATCTCTTGAGGCTCTTGTGTGGAGCGCCGGGGGTCCTGTCTAAATGCAGAGACGCCTCATTCTTGGGGGAGGGGTGGGCGAGTAGGGGTGCGCAGGGCGTCCTGAGAACCTTTAGGTGGGGTTGAGAAAACTCCCGCCAAATCAAGGCGGGTGTAGACTGTCAGCTCCCTGTGGGCGAAACCCGCTTGGTTTCCTCAGCAGCAGCCCCGCTGCGGGGCTGCTTCCTGTCCAGGGATGAAGACAGCGCCCAGGGGGAGAGGGCTGGGGTTCAGAGATTCCTGAGCGGCCAGGAGCTGGGAGGAGTGTAGCGAGGCCTTAACTGGAAGAGGTTTAGATGGTCTACTCTGGGCGCCTGCCTCTAATCCCAGCACGCAGGAGGCTGAGGCAGGAGCGGTTAGTGCAAGTTGGAGGCTAGCCTGGGCTCTGTAGTGAGGAGCCTGGACAGAATTGTTAGATGATTGTGTTCTTTGGCTCAAATGGGCTGTGGGCCTCCCTTTTTCGCAGCCAGGTGGTTTGTTTCAATCATGCTTAGTGTGGGAAGGGCCTTTTTTTTTTTTTTTTTTTTTTTTTCCTCTTTTTCGTTTTTATCAGTACCGGGGATCGAACTCACGACTAGCCTGCTTGCAAGGCCGGCGCTTATGCCGCTGAGCTAAATCCCCAGCCCTGGTGGGAAGGGCTTTTAAGTAAGGGTATTAACCTGCCTGGCACACACTTGTGATTCCAGCACTCTGGGAAGCGTGAGGCAGGACGGTTGTGCATTCAAGACCACCCCGGATTGCATAGCAAGGCCTTGTTCCCAACCCCCTTCAACATCCCAAAAGTAATGATGTTAGTAATATTAAGGAGTAGCAATCCTTAAGAGTTAGATTTTATAGCTGTTATTTTATTGGTAGTATATGCAGGCACAGAAAGATTAAGACTTTTTCTAGATCACATGAAGCTGAGATTAGATCCTGGATTGCCCCAGAGCCTCTTTTTGTACCAGACAATGGCATCGCTGTAATGTTCTTACCTCCCTGTAGATGAGCAGTACAGACAAGAAGGTCTGGCTTCAAATTGTAGCTTTATCAGTTACTAACTTTTCCTTGAGTGACTTTTTTTTTTTTTTTTTTTGTCTTTTTGAGACCTATCAGTACAAGCTGGCCTTGAGCTCACTTTGTATCCAAGGCTTTGTATCCCAGGCTGGTCTCAAACTCACCACACTTCTCCTGCCTTAACCTTTTGAGTGAGTGTGAGTGCTGGGATTACGGTGTGCACCACTACGCCTGCTGTGAGTGACACCTTTTTGAGCTGTTTCTTCATCCTGTGAAGTGCAGATGATAATATGTATGCTTTTTCCCAAGGGAGCTGTGAGAAGTGGCAGAAGGGACAGGGCTTTGTAGTCTGTGAGCTATGCTAAATTAACTATCTCTCCTGTATGGCAGCTAAGGTGATGATCTTTTTTTTCTGTAAAATTCTCCCTCCAATCCTCCCTTTCCAAGTCTCTGCCCACTTTGTGAGACACCGTATCCCCAGAAGTCTTTCTGGTGACAATGGCTTTGATAACTGCCTACCACAGCTTCCTAGGAGTTCATCATAATTCCCTCTAGGGAATGAGGTGGAAACCTTGAGGGCTTTCCATTAGCTGGACGGGCCAGGCTAGGGGAGTGTGTTTTGTGAGAGAAACTTTCAAGATTACAGTGCGTGGAGAATTTACCTTGCTGGTGCTTCAGGCTGTTTGGCCGCTCTCCGAGTTAGACTCTGAGTGGGAGTGTACCACTAGCCGTTTCCCCATGCTGCCCTACAGGGAACACCCTGTGTACTCTGGTCCGAAGCTGAGTGCACTTGCGATGGGCCTTTCAGATGCCTTCCCCACGGCAGGGCCTAGTGAGGGGCTTCCCATGGTGAAATGGGTCAGGAGGTGACTCTAGACCTGCAGAGCCTCTCTTGGGACCCAGTGTTTGGGTACAGTGCTTAGAAGTGCTGCGCCCTTTCCTCCCTTCTGTCTCTTCCCCTCTCATTCCAACACCCCTCCCCATCTTTTTTAACAGAGTCTCACTGTGTTACCCCAGCTGGCCAGGTAGCTGAGACTACAGCCAGGCACCACCACACCCGAGCTGTTTCCTCTCGATCTTCTTGCATAGTTAGCTCCCCAGGGCCATACTCAGCGCATCGCTAGAACCTTAGGCCTCTCTTTGTCGTGTAAGGCTCTCTTCTGGCTGTCTGTTTAGCCATCAGAGGGCTCCTTAAGGACAGGGCTCACAAGTGTCTGCCCTCTCCTTTCATCCACCTAGAGTGGACTGAGTGCTCACTGGAGGAGCTGGGGCACCTCCCAGCATTGGGATAGAAGAGAAGGGTGGACCAACCAGGCAAGCATCCTCAGCTCCATGGAGCTTATGTTCCAGCAGAAGGAAGCCAAGATGAGCCGTACAAACAAGTGAATTGCACAGCGTGGAGGGAGATGGCGGACCAGAAAAAGGAGAGCCCGGTGAAAATGCTGTTGCTGACGTAGGGAGGAAAAGGATTTACAATTTTAATGGAAAGCTCAGAGACGGTCTTGCTGAGAAGTGTTTGTGGGAGGACCTGAGGGGGCAGCAGGCACAGCCAGTCCTCTCGGCGGCCCCTTAGGTGGGATGTGAGCAGGGGCATGCGTACTCATGTGTATCTAGCTCACAGTCTCCTGGCTTTCTCCCCCAGGCCTGTCCCCTCGGATCCCAGGTGCCATGAGGAAGCCTCGCCGGAAGTTGCGGCAGAATGCCGAGGGCCGGCGCTCCCCATCCCCCTACAGCCTCAAGTGCTCCCCAACCCGAGAGACACTGACATACGCCCAGGCCCAGCGGATCGTCGAGGTGGACATCGATGGACGCCTGCATCGCATTAGCATCTACGACCCGCTCAAGATCATCACAGAGGATGAGCTGACGGCTCAGGACATCACCGAGTGCAACAGTAACAAGGAAAACAGCGAGCAGCCTCAGTTCCCTGGCAAGTCCAAGAAACCCTCGTCCAAGGGCAAGAAGAAGGAGTCCTGCTCCAAGCATGCATCCGGGGCCCCCTTCCACCTCCCGCAGCCCAGCTTCCGGGTGATGGATCTGGGCAGTCAGCCCGAAGCACCCCCGCTGCCCGCTGCCTATTACCGCTACATCGAGAAGCCGCCCGAAGACCTGGATGCTGAGGTAGAGTATGACATGGATGAGGAGGACCTGGCCTGGCTGGACATGGTGAATGAGAAGCGGCGGGCGGACGGGCACAGTTCAGTGTCGGCAGACACCTTCGAGCTGCTGGTGGACCGGCTAGAGAAGGAGTCCTATCTGGAGAGCCGCAGCACCGGGGCCCAGCAGTCGCTCATCGACGAGGACGCCTTCTGCTGCGTGTGCCTGGATGACGAGTGCCACAACAGCAATGTCATCCTCTTCTGCGACATCTGCAACCTGGCCGTGCATCAGGAGTGCTATGGCGTCCCCTACATCCCCGAGGGCCAGTGGTTGTGTCGCTGCTGCCTGCAGTCTCCCTCCCGACCTGTGGACTGTGTCCTGTGCCCCAATAAGGGTGGTGCCTTCAAGCAGACCAGCGACGGGCACTGGGCCCACGTCGTGTGTGCCATCTGGATCCCCGAAGTTTGCTTCGCCAACACTGTGTTCTTGGAGCCCATTGAGGGCATCGACAACATCCCGCCTGCCCGCTGGAAGCTGACCTGCTATATCTGCAAACAGAAGGGGCTGGGCGCAGCCATCCAGTGCCATAAAGTGAACTGCTACACGGCCTTCCATGTGACCTGTGCCCAGCGGGCCGGGCTCTTCATGAAGATCGAGCCCATGCGAGAAACCAGCCTCAACGGTACCATCTTCACCGTGCGCAAGACTGCCTACTGCGAGGCCCACTCGCCGCCCAGTGCCACCGCAGCCAGGAAGAAGGGCAGCTCCCCTGGGAGCCTCAGTGAGGCAGGGGAGGAAGAGGGGCTGAAGGAGGGTGGCGGGGAGGAGGAAGAAGAAGGGGAGGAGGAGAAGGAAGCCGAGCATGAGCAGCAGGAAGGCCAGGGCAGTGTGGGTGGCCCTCTCAAGGCAGTGCCCAAGAAGAACAAGACAAGTGTGAAACAGAAGGTCAAGAAGGAGCCCGAGGAGGCGGGCCGGGACACGCCTTCCACCATTCCTGTGGTCACCGTCCCACAGATACCCTCTTACAGGTGGGCCTGCCTGCAAGGGCACTTTTAAGGTTCTGGTTTGGTCCTGGCCCTGGAAAGCTTTGGGACTTTCCCCAAATGTGGCTGATAGAGGTCTGTACCCTTTTGAGCCCCTCAATTTAAACTTCACTTTTGGAGTCTGGCTTTATCTGTCCTGCCTCCTGGTTTTTGTGTTCCCTTTGGTTTAGGGCAAAATGAAACATTTAAATTGCTTAGAAACTGATGACATTTATGTCAGACAACTGGGTGCAGCAACCCACACCTGTAATCCCTAGCATTTGGGAGGCTGAGGCAGGAGGTTCCAGTTGTGAGTTCATGAGTTTTCGAGGCCAGTTTGAGATACATAGTGAGTTCAAAGCGAGCCCAAACTACTTAGTGAGACCTTTAGAGTCTTAAAAAACCAAAACAAAACAACAAAAACTCGGGCTGTATTTTTCTTTTTTTGTCTTTTTGAGACAGGGTTTCTCTATGCAGTGCAAACTGGTTTTGAGAACTTAGGTTATAGCCCAGTCTGGTCTTGAACATGCAATGATCCTCCTGCCTTTGACTCCCACATGCTGGGATTACAGGCGTGAGCCACCACTTCCAGCCAGGCTGTTATTTTCCAATAAGGACATGAAGTGGCATTTCGGACAGGATAATTCATCACTGTTAGAACTGTCCCATGCATTCCTTGACGTCAAACATCCCTGGTTTGTGTAAATCCCAATTACAGCCCAAATAGTTTCCAAAAATCCCCAGGGAGATAGACTTTTCCTGATAACCAAGGTTGACACCTCTGCCAGCAGGCTCTGTCCCGGGTGTGGGGAGAGTGTTTTATTCCTTCTCTGAAAAAGCTTTAGACCTAGGGAAAGTTCAGCTGGGGAACTCAGCCCTACCATCCCCTACCCCTGCTGGGACCTGTTTCCTGCCCTTCTTGAGGCAGGGATGGGACCCGGTGGAGTAGGAGAGTCAGGGAGAAGGTCCCAGCAGAGGCTCTCCGCAAGGGCGGTTCGTTGGCAGGTGTGCAGTTTTAGAGCAGGACCACTGTTGGAGATTGTTCATCTAATGTAGTCCTTGCACCTTCTCCCACACCCCCAGATGAAGAAGCCACGGCCCCAGGAGGTAAAGTTACTCCTTTATTCATTCCATGAGATATTTATTGAGCACGTACTACCTGCCACATTCTGTTCTAAGGGATGGGACCAGGTGGAAAGGAACAGATCCTGGACCCAGCTGAGGCTTCGCACGCCTCTTCAGGATACGCTCTTGCTCTCCGGCTCTCTGGATAGGGAAATAGTGCTGGAAGATGGCAGGGAACGAGTTGTGTGCAGGGGACAGAAGCCAGATACGCAGGCTGGGAAGAAGGCACGAGAGTGTGACCAGCATAGGAGGCGGCTGCTGTGTGCCTCGGCCCCAGTGAGTTTTGGTGACTCCGACTGTGTCTCTTAGACACTAGAGCCATTCTAGGCTGCCTCTGTCCCAAGCTGTCTGTGCTTTGTCCCCATGTGTACAGTAGCTCTGTCTGGGGTGGACTCTGGGTGTCACACCTGCTCCTCCAAGAGGACCGTGCTCTCGGGGTGGCTGAGCTGGCTGACAACACACAGACCTGTCACCCAGTCCTCGAGTCATCTGGACTGCTCTCAGCTGTAGTTTGTCTGTAAGTGGACCTATCATGCAGAATTGGGAGAAATAAGTGTGAGAATGTAAGGAAAGCACTTAGCACAGTGACTGGCATATAGTAAGTGCTCAATAAATGGTGGCTGTTGCTGCTGCTGCTGCTATTTTTTTTTATTATTATTCTTTTCCCTACTTGCACAAATGCTGTCGGAACCCTCCATGGCCAAGAGGTGATAGAGGGAGGGGGCTGCCTGCATCTGGGCAGGTGTGCTTGGCATGGGCGTTGATGGGGATCTGTCCTTCGGGAAAAGGCCTAGACCTTGAATTTGGAAGCTTGGCTTTGGGGCAGGAATGTCCGACTGGAGGCGAACAAGGCCTAGTTGAGTAGTGTCCTGGCCAGCGTGCCTATCCTTTGTAGATGCCGTCTGTCTTGATTAGCCACAGTTATCTTCTTCCAGTGGACTGGGGGGAAGAGATCAAAGCAGAGGAAACACTGCAGAAGCCCTGAGGTCTGGCTTCCCCATGAATAACCAATCTGGGGAGGCACCGAGGCAGAGAGATCATGGATTCAGATCTCACTCAGAATTTCCCATCTTACTAGCTTCATTCATTGCTCTGACAGCTAATTCAGTCCCTGTCCCTAAGATGTCTTCCTGTCTTTTGCAGTGTCGGAATAATGTTACCCTCTTAGAGTATGTGTGTTAGGCTAGGGATTGTGTTTTCTCTTAATTCCGTTTTTTTCACCACTTGCCCTTCCTGGCAGGTGTTACTTACTGGCTGAAACCCTGCCCTTAAAACTTCTTTTTGGTTAAGTTTTCAGGCCATCTATTCTCCTACACCTTCAGATCCCTTTTTCCCCTCCCATTTGGTTCCAAATTAACTATTTTTAAGCAGCTAAGATTTTTGTGGTGAAGAACCAGAGATCAGACGACTCTAAGGGGTTGCATCTGGGACCAGAAAGTGGCAGTTTGGTGTGTGTTTTCCTTCCAGCTTGGTTGTGAGCTGTCTGCTGGTTCTGTGGGAATCCTTAGCTGCAGGAGGCGGAGAATAGTGGCCACACTGCCCATAGTCGACCCAAGTTCCTGTTACTTTTTGCTGCCTTCATAGAGAGTGGGGCAGGGGGTTTGGAGGACTGGACTGTTTCTCACGTAAACACACAGGACCAGAGGAAACAGAAGGTCCAAAAGAGGTCAGGGCTGCAAAACAGGAGGTGGAAAAGCAAGTGCAATACCTCTTGCTGCATCTGAGCTGCTTAACTTTGCTGACCTTTCAAGGCTTTCCCGGAGGTGAGGCACTTGGCCACTTTACTCTGCCTTCCTCTGTCAGGTTCGGAAATGAACCAGGGTCTGGATAGGATGCATGGGCTCTCATCCGGGCCACCCACTGACCCTGTCTTTCACTTCCCTGTGCCTCTACTCAAGGTTGAACAAGATCTGTAGTGGTCTCTCCTTTCAGAGGAAAACCCAGTTCATGCAGCGGCTTCACAACTACTGGCTGTTGAAGCGGCAGGCGCGGAATGGTGTCCCCCTCATCCGGCGCCTGCACTCCCACTTGCTGTCCCAGAGAAACGCCGAGCAGGTAGGTGCCGTGGTGAGCGGAGGCCAGTGGAGGGAGGTGGAGAGGAAAGGAGGAACCCTCCAGGGGGGTCAGCCCTGTCTCTGGGTGACCCATCACAGGCACGGCCTCCACTGCTGCAGAGGCTTCAGAGCTGACTGCAGCCCCTTCTGGGTGGAGGGGCTTCACTTAGGCAAGCCCTGGGAAAGAGTGGAGAGCCGTTCCCCTTCCCTGTGACAGGAACAGTGCTTCAGATATGGCAGAAGGCAGAGGCAGGCTGTTAAGTGTCCAGGCTGCCACACCGTGCATGCGTATTAGGAAGAGACCCCCTTTTTCTCGAGACGCTATACTGACACTGCCATCTGCCACTGTGTGTCCTAGTGAGCACATACAGTGAGAGTGCTAGGTGTGGGCACAGCCTGGCCATTAGCGCCTGGAGTTGCTGCATGTTTAATGTTCTTGGCTCCCAATGTCCCCTCTGGTATTTATGTCTTTAGATCTCTGTCCTCTTTTACCTGCTTCATTACCAGTCTTTAAATCTTTCCATACTGCTGCTCCAGGGAAGAAGCAAGCCCTTCCGTGACTGGTGCTTGTACTTCCTGTGTCGTGTTACGTTTGCCTTTTGTGGCTAGGTTTCCAGACGCAGGCGTCTAGCTGGCCCCCCTAGACCTTTTGGTCCATGTGCTTTCCTGAAGCCTCTCCTAAAACACCAGTGACCTCCTCCCAGCACATCTTTCCCCAGATTGTCACTGTATTGACGTCACCTGTCACCATGTCTAAGCGCTCCTGCATGATGCTGTCCCCCCTCCCTTTTTTTTGGTACTAGGAAATCGAACTCACAACCTCCTTGCCAGGCAGGCGCTTAGCTCTTTCCCATTTTTGTCCCCAGGATTGCACCCTGGGCTGATCTGCCTTTTGCTCTCTAAAGGTTCCGTATGGCTTTACTGCTGCTTGTTTGTGTGGAAAACGTGCTTGCTGTCATAAATGAACATAACTGTGTAGCAGTAGCTCCTGAGTTTGGATTTCATTCTTAGCCCTGACCCCCTGTTTTTTGCCTTCTGTCCCTCTGGGCTATTTCCATGCTGATGTTGGTGCCCTTGACTCTGTCCTGTAAGCCTAATCCATTATCTTATTCTCAGCAAACATTCTCCCTAATTTTGTCAAAGACCTTCCCTTCCAGCCTGGACCAGAGTCCCTCCTGGGAGTTACTTCTGATTCTTCCTCCCTCCCGTAGTGGGTGGCAGTTAGCCGTCCCCCAGCTGTTCTGACGGATTTGTTCAGGGTGGCCTTTCTTCCACTCTTCAGTTCACAGCCTCGCCAGTCCCTTGGAATCTCAGCGATGGCCATCACTCTAGCTGGTCTTCGGCCTCTGATTCCATTTTCTGTCCTGCCTCTTCCTTTTCCAGAATATACTCTTCTGCTCCAGGCAGGCCGAGTCCAGACTTTTGCCTGGCGCTTGAGGCTTTTTACCAGCTGGATCCTGGGCTTTGTGGCTTTTGTGGTTCTCCAGCTTCTCGGCTCTGGCTGGCCCATTTTGCTCTAAGCCAAGACTCGTTAATTCTACCTCCACATTTCCACCTATTGCCCTGTCGGGTCCAGAAGAGGCCTTGCTTTGCCTATCCACGTCTACCATTGTAGACAGCGGATCTCTGCTGTTGGGAGATTGCTTTTCCTGAAAGATTCCCTGACCTAACCTCCGCCTACCCAAGGCCTTTCTCTGTTTTGTATCCTCTCATCATTTTACCTTCAGTTTACACGATCAGTTTTGCCATCCTTACTGTGACAGGTGCTTGTGTTTCAGCGCTGAGTCTCCTCCTTTCCCCAGCAGCCCTCAGTCTTCTAGGTCAGCATCCACAGCTTTTTGTTGTGTTACCAGAGTATGTGCAAGCCACATAACAGGAGCTAATAGAAAAAAAGACTTTACTTTGTTTTGCAGCCAAGTCAAAGCTCTAGGGTAAGATTCTTTCTACCCCTGAGGTGTCTATTAGTTTTCTTCTGAAATTCCTTGCAGCCCCAACGGCCACAGCTGATCTGGGTGTCCCTAGGGGGTGTGAGGAAAGAGTCCCAGCTCCCTCTGCAGCAGCTTTACTGTGCTGCAGTGAAAAAACAGTGTCAGAAGGCTTGGGACGGAGGAAGGTACCGGGAAGAGAGCCTGGGTCAAGGGGGCAGGATTCCTGTCTGCCGAAGCCGGCTGGGGCTGGAACAGGGAGAGGACTTTGGGCCGCAAGGAGGCCCCCAGCTCCTGCTCCCCTTGCCTCCCACAGCGAGAGCAGGACGAGAAGACGAGTGCAGTGAAGGAAGAGCTGAAATACTGGCAGAAGCTCCGGCACGACTTGGAGCGGGCGCGGCTCCTGATTGAGCTGATTCGGAAAAGAGAGAAGCTCAAGCGGGAGCAGGTAAGGCGCAGTCCCCAGCACCAAGGCGCTCGCTCCCACTCCTAGTGTGGCACTGGGGGACCTGAGGCCTCGCCTGGCACCAGCTTGCTTTCCCCTTCCTGCCCAACTCTGCAGGCTCCACCATCTGCCACTGTGCAGTAATTGTGGTTCTGTGCTTCAGTGCAAGCTTAGTATCATTGGCCCACACGCGTTTCTGGGGCTTCTGATGAGGGAGTTTTAGGGAGGGGCCTCAAGTATCTCGAAAAGCTCAGGCTGTTCTAATGGGCATCGCTGGTTGAGAGGTTGTGGCCTGGGAGTTTCTAAAGCTTCTAATGTGGCCCATTTTACATATATATATATACAGGGCCTCATTGTGTAGTTCAGGCTGGCCTTGAACTAACTCTGTAGCCCAGGCTGATCCTTCTGCCTCAGCCTCCTGAGTGCTGGGATTACGGGCAGCAAGGCCTATTTTTAAACACTTAGGCTCTTAACATCATTTGAAGTGTCTGACCTCAGTTCCAGGAGACTCCATGCCCAGGAGCATGCGGCACGGTAAAATAAGGGCGGACCACAGGGCTCTAGGGTTACCAGCTCTGGCACCAGACTGAGTTTTGGTCCTGGCTCTGGCAATTACCACCTGTGTAACATTAGGCAGGTTGCTTAATCTCCGGATACTCTGTGCCTTCACCTGTCATATGGAGCCCATGACAGAGCCCACGTCACAGGGCCAGGGAGATTCAATGACTCTGTGTATGGGAGAAGAGCTTTGAACAGTGGCAATGTGGTAAGGGCTGTAGACATGTCAGCTGCTGTCATCCCTGTTCCCACTGATGCTCTTTGTCTTGCTAAAGTGGCTGTCTTAGTGGCAGAGGGCACTTGGCTGTTAATTGAATAGACGGCCCACCAGAACTATTCTCTTTGGTCCAGGAATAGCATCTGTTATTCACACGGTTCACAGGCCCGAGTTAAAAATGTTCCGTCTCCCTCTTCCCAGCCCTGAGGCTCTAAGGAGAGCCCTTCTAAGGAGAGCTCAGACACAAGTTTCCGCCTCTAGTCTTGGGCACACGTGGAAAATAACATCTCTGCAGCAGCCGCTGTAAACATGCAAGGCCGCTGGGGGGTTCTGTCATGCAGGCCGAGCCGGCATCGTGTGCTGATGGCCACATCTTGAGGGCTTTGTCACCGTGGGCCGAGCTGAGTGCCCTGAGCACAGATGGCCGCATCTCGGTGCACCTTGTGGAACACTGCAGCGGAGGCACATTTGATTCCAGAGTACGCTCCTTGGCTAAGTCAGACTTGTCAGTTGGTTCAGATGCTGTCTGTAGTTTTCTAGCCAGGCGACCTTAGGCTGGTGGCTCCATCAAGCAGTTGCCAAGCGACAGGCTCACATTTTAAAGCAGGTGTCACAGTTTCCCCTTCACAGCTGTTGTGACCGCTGGAGGTAAAGTAAGTAGAGGAGAAGAGGGAGGTGGTGGTCAGGAGCACTTAGGTCAGAGCCAAAGCCTCGGGAGCTGAATCCTAGCTCTGCCCCTTGTTAGCTGTGTGACCTTTGGCCTATTGCTTAGTCTCTCTGTGCTGCTTCTTTGTAAAATACCTTGCCTGTCCCCTCCACAGACATTCACTTGTGTTACATACAGTGCTTAAAACATTACCTGGTATTTAGTGTGATCGCAGAAGTATTAATTATGACAGTCACAGTTATTTTACTACTGCAAGTCTTGACAGGGAGCTTGATACCCGAAAAGTATTCTCAAGACAGCAGCTGCTTTGCTTTACCTTTGTCATAGACTGGGCCATTTATAAAGAAAGTCTATTTCAAATGGCTCACGACTGAGGGGGCCGGCAAGCCCAAGTGCAGGGCGTAGGGAGACTCCTGTGCTGCACTGCATCGTGGCAGAGAGGCAGCTGGAGCGGGAGCGGGAGCGGGAGAGGCCACCTCTACAACAGGCTACTCCTGCGGGACCCAGCCATGCCACAGGCAGCCCGGGGCACACCTCCGAAGTGGGGCCCCGCTGGTATCATCACACCTGGGTTCGGAGTAGCTGAGAGCCCTTGTAGCAGCCAGCTTGGTCCTGGTGGAAATTTGTGGTCAGGTTGCAGAGAAATTTCAGCATCCCTTAGCATGGATGTCCTGGTCAAGCTGCCCACTCCTCACTCTGCAGGTCAAGATCCAGCAGGCCGCTATGGAACTGGAGCTGATGCCCTTCAATGTGCTGCTTAGGACGACACTGGACCTGCTGCAGGAGAAGGATCCTGCGCACATCTTTGCTGAACCTGTCAACCTGAGCGAGGCAAGTCCCCCCGCCCCCTTATACAACAGCACCCCCTGAACTGGGCACAGGGGCAGCATACGCCGGGAGGGGAATGGGGCCACAGGGAATACAGAACCGAGTGGGTGCTGTGTCTGGTGAGGCTGGGAGACATGGCTGTGGCGAGTGGTCAGCAGGAGGCAGGTGGGCCAGGCCCTCGCGCCCAGTGAGGTGGGCACGTCCACACAACAAGTGGGAGGCCACGAGTGCCCGAGCAGGGTGCGCATGTGTGACTAGTAAGTGGTTGTTGTAATTGTACAGGTTTTATATGTTTAGGTTCCAGATTACCTGGAATTCATATCCAAGCCAATGGATTTTTCTACTATGAGGCGGAAGCTGGAGTCCCACCTGTACCACACCTTGGAGGAGTTTGAGGAGGACTTTAACCTTATAGTTACCAACTGCATGAAGTATAATGCTAAAGACACAATTTTCCACCGAGCAGCTGTCCGCTTGCGGGACCTGGGAGGGGCCATTCTACGGCATGCCCGGCGGCAGGCGGAGAACATCGGCTATGACCCCGAGAGGGGCACCCACCTGCCGGAATCACCCAAATTGGAGGACTTTTACCGCTTCTCCTGGGAAGACGGTGAGAAGTCTGAACGGGTGGGGAGGACAGGGACCAGGAGGAGACACAGGGACAGTGCACAGAGAGCCAGGGGTCAGGGTGGGCCTGAGGGCTGTGGCCTGGACTCCAGGAGCCAAGCTGGGGGTGGGCACAGCCTGGGGCCCACCCGCCTGAGGCTGGAATAGTTCCATGGTTAAAATGAAACTGGGCTGCTGAGCACTTCCTGAGTGATAGGAAGGAGGAGTCAGGTGCCGCCAAGGTCTTCTCTCCCAGATCCCCTCCGGGTGGCACTGGCACAGGGGCAGGGGGTACAGTGCTGTCATGTGCATGGCCCATTCGGAGGAGCACAGGCGGAGGACCAAAAATACAGAATTGCCTCGGAGCCCGCACTGCCTTCCAGGCTCTCTGCCTTTCCACGCAGCAGCCAGACAGTCACTCAGAGGGGCTGGGGATTGCCAAGCCACCTCTGGCCTGCTCCACAGAGCCCTAATCGTGACTGTCAACTGCTTCCTGCAGATATTTCCCGCATTCTGACTTTGTTCTCCCGTGGCTGCCTTCCGGAAAGCGCTGTCACAGCCTAAGTGCCCACAGTGACGCCACTGGCAGCCATGGGCCTGAGCATTCCAAGAGAGTCTTTTGCATCCAAAGGACTTGGTTTCTTTCCCTTGCCCTGGACTGGGCAGGTCCTTCAGCCCCTTCTGTCCTCCCTTCTCCCTGGCAGTGGACAACATCCTCATCCCAGAGAACCGGGCCCATTTGTCCCCGGAGGTGCAGCTGAAAGAGCTGCTGGAGAAACTGGATCTGGTCAGCGCCATGAGGTCCAGTGGGGCTCGCACCCGCCGCGTCCGCTTATTGCGCCGGGAGATCAATGCCCTTCGGCAGAAGCTGGCGCAGCCACCCCCGCAGCTGCCCTTGCTGAATAAGACAGTGTCCAACGGAGAGCTGCCCGTGGGGACCCGGGGGGACACAGCTGTGCCGGAGCAGGTCCTGCAAGAGGAGCCAGATTATGATGGGGACAGAGGTGAGAGAGAGGAATGGGTGGTAAGATGCCGGGGAGGTGGCTGAATTGTGGGAAATTCAGGGAGTTTCTGGTGCCAGAGCTCAGGAGCTGTTTACTAGCCACTTAAAAGTCTGACAGTATTTTGCAGCAGATGTGGCCGTGTTGTACAGTGCAGTTAAATATCAGCCTGCTTTCTACCACCATGGAGAGACTCACAGAGCAGGTTAGGTTGGGGTGCAGGGCTTTAGCAGGGACCCCAGCTCGGAGCCGCCTCGTGGTTTTGAACCCAGCTGGCTGAGTCTCCAGGCCTATGCCACGCAGAGAGGCCAGCCTGTGAGAGCAGCTGAGGCAGTGGTCTTCAGAAACCCAGGAGCTTTAAGCTGAGCTCTTCCCGTCCTTCAGGGGACAGAGTTGTCACCCTTGTCCCTGCCCTTGGATCAGAGCCTAGGGCTTGGAAGGGCCTAGGGACAAACAGTCCCAAAGGTTGGGAATCATTTCCGGTAGGTAGGGGTCCAAGTTGCAGGGAGTAGTCTTCTTTCTTTTCTTTTCTTTTCTTTTTTTTTTATGGTTGGCTGGGAATTGGGGACATGGCAGAAAGGTTACATGGTTACATTTGGCACTGGGACTTTGTGTCTGTGAGTGACTCTTCCCAGCTCACCATGTGGCGGTCAGCGTGCTGTTCACGTGTTCTACTTGTAGCCTCTGACAGGGCAGTCATGCCCAGTAGACCAACTGTTGTAGCATCCCAGGGTGGTGATGGCAAACCTTTCAGGGTTCTCAGTGATAGAGACAGCCAGCTGTGGCACATGTGCCATAGGTTCGCCACCTCTGCCGCAGGGGATTCAGAACAACGAAATTCCCAGCCTTGCTTCGCAGAGACTGGACTGTGGTTTGCAAGTCTCAGTTCTGTACAGCGTCCAGTAGTTAGGTGAGCAGACCTAGTGGATAACCACTGTTTCAGCTGCCTTGGTCTCAGTTCTCCTCTTCTGTGGATTTACTTTTTCTGCCCTTACTCTCACTTGGATAATGTGAACAAAATCGATGGCAGATGGAACTGTGCACCTCTAATCTGCCAAGCCGAGACACAGCCTCACTACTGATGAAGCAGGTGACTATTTCAGAGTGCTGGTTTGCGACCCTCGCTTCATTAGCCTCAGCTGGTCTGGGGTGTTCTGTGAGCATTAGGATTTTTAAGAAACTTTCTAGGAGGCTGTGATACTTACCCAGGTTTGAAAAATGTTTCTTAGCGCGGGAAAGCTTTGTCTTATTCTCTCTGCCTTACATCTAAGACCTGGGATGTCTCGAGCCTCATAGCAGCCTGTGCTTTAAGTCTGTGGATCTCAGTGTTGGTATGTGGCTTGCAGGGGCAGACGCCTTCTAAAATGTTCAAGCAGGTTCTCTTTCTCTCTAACAGATGACTCCAAACTGCCTCCCCCACCAACCCTGGAGCCCACTGGGCCTGCACCTTCCTTGTCTGAGCAAGAATCCCCCCCGGACCCCCCCACCCTGAAACCCATCAGTGATAGCAAACCTCCAAGTCGATTCCTAAAGCCCAGGAAGGCAGAAGAAGATGAGCTCTTGGAGAAGTCACCTCTGCAGCTAGGGAGTGAGCCCCTGCAACATTTGCTCAGTGACAACGGCCTCAACAGACTGTCTCTCATGGCCCCTGACAGCCCAGCCGATGCCCCACTCAGTGGCGTGGGACGCCGCACATCAGTCCTTTTCAAGAAGGCCAAGAACGGGGTTAAGCTCCAGAGGGGCCCAGACGGGGCCCTGGAGAATGGCGAGGACCCTGGTGTGGCGGGCTCTCCCGCCTCTCCGGCCAGCATCGAGGAGGAGCACCGTTCCCGGAAGCGGCCCAGGAGCAGGAGCGGTAGTGAGAGTGAAGGGGAGAGGTCCCTGCAGCAGGAGGAAGAGACAGGTGACCTTGCCTGTGCTTCTCTCGCTACCTCTCGTCTGCTTTTCCACTTTGCCTTGCCAGCCAGCACCTTCTCCAGTGGGCCAGGTCCCCAGTGGCCTCTGGGGACGCCTGTGGTGGCGCTGTGGGGTCTGTAGCTTGTGTTTGGGCCTGGCACGTGAGCCATGGCCTGGGGAAGCAGGCATAGCGGTGCCTCCAGAGGGCCAGGCTGTGCCCCGGGCCGGCTTCCACTCTGAGGGCACGTAGGGTGTAGGTGATGAAATGGGTCCTCCTTCATTGTGGGTCATTTGTCCAGCGCTTAGGTGCTGGTGGAAAGCTCAGTGAACAGAACAGGCAGAGGCCTCCTCCTTTAGAGGGGAGAGAGGCCTGAGGCAAGCCAGGTATCTTACATGAGCAGCTTTGTAACCAACCCAGCAGGAAGCGGGGATAGGGCAGGCTGGGATGGCATTCGAGCGGGCACCAGGGAGGCGACATGTGAGTAGAGATGTGAAGGAGCTGGAGGCCTGAGGACCCACGCTATGGGAAGACAGGTCAGCAAGTGTGCAGCCCTGGGTGGGACTGAGCCTGCCTGTCCCCAGAGCAGCGAGGGCCACAACATCCTGGGACCGAGCATGGCACGGTGGGGAGCCGGGTGAGTGGGACATGGGGACCTTACACTGGTCACTGGGGTCCTGACATGGACTTACACTGGTCACTGGGACGGGGGCCACAAAAGCAAGTCAGATCGGCCCCCTGGAAGTGTCACTGTCTCTGTAGTACGGGAACAAAGTTGTCTCTCACTGTGTGCTGAGGTGACGGGGACAGGTAGCAGTGCACAGCTGCTCGGGGCACCTGGGCTGCTGGAGCTAGGCGGGCTTCCTCAGGAGGGTGTGGGCAGCCTGGAGCCAGACCTGTGTGGGGACGGGCCTGCGGACGAGGAGCAGCGCCAGGCAGGGGGGTTGGTCCTGGCGAGCCGAGCTGCTCCTGGCTGTTGCTCCTCGTGTTGCCGTTGTGTACTTTCATGTGGTGGCTTTGAGCTGTGTGGCCAGCACTTGCGTCTTTCGCTTTGTGCCTGCCATTTTGTTTTCAGCAGCGTATCTTTCTTTCCCATCTGGCCCCGTCCTCCCTGAGGGCAGAAGGCTGATGATAGAGAGACACGAGAGCTTGAGGCCTGGGGCAGGGTGTACCAGAGTTCAGAGCCGAGCTTCTTACCAACTGTGTCACCTGGGAAAATTCATTCAGCCCTGAGCCTGCATTTCATTTCTGATATGAGAATAGCAGTAGCTACCTTGCAGGGCTCCAAGGAGTCAGAAACAGTCTATAAAAGCCCTGAGCCTATAGCGGTTACTGTTCTCTTCGCTATATCTGGCAGGGCCAGACAGCTAAAAACTGACACTCCTGCTGTCAAGAGCAGAGTGGACAGCAGGTCCATCCTGCCTGAGGGGGCTGCTGCTTTGTGCTGCGAGAACCTGTCCCTCTGCCACCGTCGCAGCTGTCTGGCACCAGGAATGCTTCCTGGTTGATGTCCACAAAACAGGTGTTGAGCCGGGCATGATGGTGCGCTCCTGTCATCCTAGCACTCAGGAGGCTGAGGCAGGAGGATCATTGCAAATTCGAGACCAGCCTGGGCTGAAAGTGAGCTCAAGGCCAGCCTGAACTGCACAGTGAGACCCTGTCTCCAAAAGACACACAAACCAAAAAACACAGATGACGACCCTTTGCTGGCCAGGTCCTGTGAGAGGAAGGCATCTGCTGTCAGGGTGTGTGCAGCTGGCCACCAGCATCTGCTCTTTCAGGCGCGACCTGCCTCGAAGTTCTGTGGGCAGCGTGACGTACGCTGTGCAGCCAGGCACCCTCCCCTCCCTCCCCTCAGCTCAGCTGTCCGAGTGGGCTTGGGAGTGTGGTGAGAGATCAGATTCGCAGGAGACTGGCTGGCTACATAGCAAGGTCACTGGGTTGGGTTGGCTGGCTTGCGTGTGTAAACAGAGGCTCTTTCATCTATACTGTGTCCCCCACAGGGAAGGAGACCTTAGTTCCACTTTACAAAAGCCAAAGCTTAGTGCAGAGAAGGGGCCAGCATTTCAGGACCCAGCATGGAACCATGGATTCCAGCTCCCCGGCCTGGGGATGTCTGGGTGGCTCTAGTTCTCCTGAAAAGTACACCGTTCCCCACTCTGCTCAGCATTGCCAGGTGGCCTGGGTGCGGTCCGCACCGAGCCCTTATCGTGCCCTAGCCTCTCCTGAAGCCATCCTCAGGGTCAGCTGTTGCCGGCTTTGCAGTGGGCAGGGGCAGGGCATGTGGCGTTTATCTGGAGCTGCAAGGTGCGTGGGCTCGCCTGGCCCCTGATAATGAAGTTTGAAATTAGAAGCAGGCCCAGAGGAGCCTGCCCAGGTGGGGAGGCCTCAGTATTTCCCTCTGTAGCCAAACGACAGCAGCCAGAGTCAGTTGGGCACAGTGTGCTCCTGAAAAGTGAAAGGATGGGAGGAAAGGGGTGGGGAGGGAGGTGGAGGTTCTGCTCATTGCCTGAGCCAGCAGTGTGTTCGCCAGCCTTAATTTCTGCTGTTCTCTCTGTTACCCTTTTCCCGGGGGAGGAACAGCCACCCTCTCCCTGCTCCTCCCTGCTCTCCCCAGGACAGCTGCCTTGTGCTGACACCTGTGGAGGGGGAGGGGAGCTCCTGCACACCCGCTCACGCCATGTGTCCTTGGCAGGTGTGACCAATGGCTTTGGAAAACACACTGAGAGCGGGTCTGACTCCGAATGTAGTTTGGGTCTCAGCAGTGGACTGGCATTCGACACTTGCAGGTAAGGACCCTTGTATTCAAAGCTTCGGCAGCAGCTACCACCCCTCCCTTTAGTGACCCTTCAGCAGGGACAGGCGCATGTCTTCTTTTTTTTTTTGTATTTTTCTTTTCCCTGCTGTTCCTGAGGCCTCTCGGATCTAGCAGGAAATGGGCTTGTCTCCCAGGTCTCCTCCTACTGAAAGGAATGATGCTGATGCTGTACAGATACAGGGCTGGCTGGTGTACGAAAGGTGGGCTCCTCAGTGGGGAACAGCTGGTCACCTTTTGCAGCAGAGCTAACATTTGAAACACCCCACCCACCCGCTGCCACTCGTATCTAGGTGATCCAAGGTTATAGATAAGGTTTCCTCTTCGGCCTCCTGGATTTCAAAGCACTGGCCTCTTGAGGGGTGTGACCTAGAAATGAGGGAGGAGGACCTTTGGAGTTGCCTCTTACATCCTTGAACTGAAAAGAGCTGGGTTTCTTCTGTCATTCTTTAACCTGGAAGGAGGATTTCTGAGAATAAAACCTTAAAGTTTCTTCCAAGTCCAAGTGAACCCCATTCTGTGGTCTGTAGTGGGAGGATCTCAGGGAGCGCAGGACTCTCTGAAATCAGAGAAGCTCATACAGTAGAGGGAAAATGACCTCCTGAAGTCTGATGTCATGGTCCCACAGTGCCTAGGTTCAAGGCTGGAGAGGGCAGGTTCCCAGGCAGCACCAAAAGATGCCCTATCTGTTTGGCTGCTTCCACACGGCTCAGATGTGCCCTGTCCTGGTGGATGGGCTCCAGCTGGGGTAATGGGGACCCCTACCACGGCTATTCCTTGGCCTAGACTGATTCCATCATTCTGTGCCTTTGAGATTTTCCTCCCCAGTCTCAAAATTGCCCTCGCAATTTTGTGTACTCATTCTTGTGTTCTTGTGTACTCATTCTCTCTTTCTCTCTGTCTTTCTGTCTCAGTCTGTCTGTCTCTCTTTGTGCTTCTCTCTCTTTCTCCCCCTATTGAAGACTTCAGAGAGATGTGGGGAGTAGATGGAGAAGAATCATTTATCAGACAGGGGGCAGGTGCCTTCAGGCTCTCCTGGGTTGGAGTTCTAGGCTTCTTTCAATTGTTGGGGTTGGAGCAGGAGCAAGGCCAGCTTGTTCTCCCCTTCTGGGCCTGGGCTAAAAGTCCCCCTCCATGAAGGACGCTGGCCAGCTGTGTGTCCTCAGCAGCAAGCCGGGCCAGCCGTGGTTAGCCTGTTGATTCGGGTGGAGTTTGCCTCTGCGGAGCTCGGTGCCACTGATCCCACTGAGCTCCTGCTCGATGTTGGGACACTGCCCTGGAAGGTGTTCCTTCTTCAACTTAGTGGCTCTCGGTGGAATTTCAGGGTTTAGAGTGAAGTTCAGGGACCCCAAAGGCAGGGTTTTTCATCTCCTGCATCTATCACAATAAGAACATAAAGGAAGATCTTGTTTATTAGACTGAAGCCACATCATTCCACAATTAGAAAAACCCATTGCCACCCCCTCTTCCCAGCCTGCCCCTCGGTTGGTCTCTTCTGCTGGTTTTGAGTAGGTGAGTACTCTGCTCTCCCTCTCCGAGGGGTCACTCTAGTAACTGGGCGATTGCGCACACACCGTGTGCCCAGCGCTGTTCCAAGCACTGATAGGGTGTTGGTTCTCATGGAGCTTCTCTTCTAGGGGAGACAGAAGCTAAACCAGCAACAAGATCCTTACTGATCGGGTGGCCTGCTTGGGCCTGAGTCACTGGGACAGGGGCCGACACGCAAGCCAGGATTGAGTCAGTTGTGCTTCTACCAGTTAGAATCAGGCGTTTTGGGTGTTGTATTTCATTGAGCTCATGTTCTCAGAGCGCATTGTTCTGTGGGATAACACTAATTTAACACATGAAAATTGACTGCCCTTCGCGTAATAGTCAGACCTGCCACTTTCTGAGGACCCGGTGTGTGCTGTGCTGGGTATATTTGTGAGTATTGACTCACTGACTCCCCACAACACTGTGGGGAGCACAGACCTTCCAGAAGTGAAGTGATTACTATCAGTCACAGAGCCCATGAGGAGAGCTGGGCTTTAAACTTTGGTAGTCTGGCTCCAGAGTTTAATCTCTTTACTGCTCTGCTGTGCTCTTTTCTGTTGTGTTTAGAGATGTTTTCCCAGGTTTGGGATGAACTTTGAAAGGTTCTCAGAATAAAATTACCAGCACCTTACTTCCATACATAACCTCCGAGTCTCTAAGCATGCTTTGACTAATGAGAAAAAAAATTCTGACCTAACTGCTATTTGCTGAAGGATTATGATTCATGGATTTTGGTTAAGCAAAATTTTCCTTTTTTTTTCTTCTTATTCCCCTCTTTCCTCTGTACCCAGGCTCTTCACACTGAGCTGAATATCCCCAGCCCTTTTCTAATTGTTGAGACGGGGTCTTACTACATCCCCAGATTGCCCAGGCTGGGCTCAAGCTTGCTATCTTTCTTGACCCAGCCTCCCGGAATGTTGAAACTTCGGGCTGCACCACCGTGCTTGGCCGCAGAGTTCTCTTAGCATAGTAATAAAGTCAGTCCTGACCCAGTGAAACACAATATCCCACTCTCCAGCCATTCTCCCCTGGCTGCTGTTTATTCAACCCAGGACTTTCTAAGCATTTTCTACTTTTATGCAGCAGTAGACTTATCTTATAAGCATTTTTTAAATTTGAAAAGTTATATAGCAGTAATACTTTTTGAAGTTTGGGTAGAAAAAACCCCTAACCACATCTTTCTTGCCCAGGGAGCTCCGCTGATGGTTGGGTTGTATCACTCACTGCTCAGCATTGTTTCGCACAGATTTGCTTATTGCCTTCTAGTCCTTGTCTAGTATATATTTTACTTCTGTCATAGCCATGTTTTAAAAAATGGATGTACTTTTTAGTTTAAAAAAAAAGCCATCTCTGTCTATCTAAGAAAAGCTTCACACATAGAGCATTTGGAAGTGAGAAGACTTTTTTTCTCAATTTAAAAATGTCTTTTCTAATTTTGTAAGTTTGACATGTCCATTATAGGAAATTCGGAAAAGACAAATTTTTATGTCTCAAAAATAAAATGCTTTCTAAAGAAACAGCATGTAGATCACAGACTAAGGAATTCTGGGCAAAGGGGATATGGCCACTGTCTCTTTCTCATTGCAGGGACAAAATACCCCAGTACCCACAGGTTAAATGTGGGAAAGTTTATTTCAGCTCTCAGTTGGTGGAGGTGTCAGTCCATAGTTGGCTGACCCCAAGGCAGGGCAGCATGACAGGGGTGAAACGGGTCACGTGTGGCAGACCAGAAGCTAGCCCTCCTTTCCCTTTTTATGCCATCTGGGCTACCAGCCTATTGGTTGGTGCCACTCATACCCAGGGTGGGTCTTCCATCTTTAGTAAATCCATTCCGTCATACTCAGAACTGTGATACCCAATTAGTGGGTGAATCCAGTGTGACACACCTGTGACCCAGTCACTCCTCAAAACCCCACCTGTAAACACCTGAGGCTTTCGGGGACGGTAGAAGCCGTGATAGCCACTCCTCATGACAAGGCTGCTGAGCTTCGGGAAGCATTGATGAGTGATGGGGGTGCCTTTTCCATGACGAGGACCTTCCAGGTTCACTCCTTCCATGCTGTGAAATGATTCCTGAAAACCTAGGGGGAACTTCCCACTGGGAAGTGTGTCGAGGCTCAGTGTAGTGTAGTGGGGGGGGGGGGGAATGCAGAGAAACATCTCCCCTGAGAGCTGTTGCTTCTCTGCACCTGCCCAAGATGGGAAGTTCCAGGTGGCAGGTTGGTCCTTGGAACTGTTCCTTTGACCCTCTCTCCCTGCTCTATGTGCAGCGGTCTGACACCGCCCAAGCGCAGCCGGGGAAAGCCAGCCCTGTCCCGAGTGCCCTTTCTGGAAGGCATGAATGGAGACACCGACTACAGCGGCTCAGGTGAGGAGCGGTGGTAGACAGAGCTGGGGGCCAGGCCTTCCCGGGAGCCAGTGCAGCAGGCTGTGGTGCTGCTGGAGCTCAGAACCAGTCCGCGACCCTCGGGCACCCCGAACCCTTGGGCACTGGCCAGTGAGATGGCCTGAGCTCCCTAGGCCATTCATGCTTCCTTTAAAGAATATCATCTTAAACTTGAATGTGTAATTCTCACCCTTGGTAACAAAAATCTGAAAGGCAACCAGCGGCCTATGAGGAAAGCCCACACTCCCTTCCTTGGAACATCCAGTGTTGGCATTTGCTTTGTGCCTTTCCGGAGGCGATCCCTGAACATGCAAGCCAGGACTCGTGCGTGTGCTTAAGAAAGCCGTAAAGAAGTCCAATGGGCTCGTGCCTCTGTGGTACTATTGCTTTTTCTCCAGTTAATAACATACCTCAGGGAGCCTTCTGTGCTTTGCAGTGGCGGCCTCGTGTCCGGCTACACGGGAGCGCCTGCATTTGTGCAGCTACCCATAAAGACAGACGTTTCGGATCTTTTCACTTACTTGTTACCCTAGTCAGTATTACCTTGAGCAATCTGAAGTGCGGGTAGTCACCCTGCTCCCACGGGGAGGAGGCAGGATTGTCGACGTAAAGGAATGTGCATGTGTAACTTTCATGGGTATTGCTCGTCTGCTCTCAGTGGTCCATGGTGGCCTGAGGCTCACTATAACCCTGGAGTTTTATGGATCCTGTCTTCTTGGCCCAGTAGGATGAAAGGACAGGACAGGGCTGGGGTAGTGCCCTGCACAGAAGGTGCAGCGGGGCCTGAGCACACCCTGGTGCCGCCCCGGCAGTCTAGATGCTGTCTTTAAGGTTCCCTGTAGCACACCGGCTGGCTGCAGGCTTTCTCTTCCCTTTCCCCAGCTGCTCTCCCTTCCTGCAGCATCAGTGTCTCACACGCGTGTGTTGCTGAGTGTGTGCTTGTGCGTTTCATTCCTCTCTATGACTGTCAGCCCCCAGAAGGCGGGACTTGTGTCCAGATGAACTTGTGTAATACCTAAGCTCAGAACCAGGAGTCGATTGGCACAGTTAGCGCTTCTGGTGGTGACATTTTATTCTTATTCTACAACTTATTCCCATCCCTAAAAGGATGCCAAAAGAAATGTAAAAAAGGAATTGAGCTCTCATAGTGCTACCATCTTAAAACACAATTGTCTTTGTTTCTCTGTGTTGCCTTCTGTTTATTTTAGGCACATTTTTAACAAAGTGCTAATCCAAAACACATGTACTTTTGTATCCTACTTTTTTCACTATTACCTCATACTTTTTTCCATGCGGACACACAATCTTCCATCTCACATTATTGGCACACTGGATCTAACGATGCTAATTCGCTTAACTGGTCTGTCGTTTTAGACCCTTGGTTATCTTGGACTCCTGATTTACACATGATGTAGTGTAGTGAATCCACATTTTTGTTGTTTGTGAAAGTTCTTTTTCTTAGAATAAATCAGCAAGGAAGGAATTTACTGACGAGCAGATGGTTCATATGTTTTTTTTCCTAATGGCTGGGAGACGTACAGCCAGAATACATTCTACAAGCCACGGGTGACAGCACACTTCCCCTCAGCCATCCTCTGGGGCATCAGGTTTTATGTTTTAGTGCTGTTGCTGTTTATTCAACAGAGTCAAAACAGTGCCTTATTATATGTTCAGTTTTTTTTAAAAAAAATTATAAGGAGTGGTGATTTTTCCTTGGAAATGTAATTGCCTCCCTTGAGATTTGAGTGTTTTTCCCCTGACCAAGTGCAGTCACCTCCCCATCCTCAGTCTGTAGATGTGGGGGAGGGAAAGAGCCATCCCTTAGGGGTCCAGAAGTGCTGGTGCTGCCGCACCGGCTGCCTGTGGAACAAGGCATGGGGTGTCAGCTGCAGGGGTCACAGCAGTGTGGACACGGTGCTGATGGCAGCAGGGCCCCGTAGAGCTGCGTGCCTGCTTGGTTCCTCTGGGTATGGGGCAGCCCAGTGCCCTGGGTGGCTCGGGACCACGTGGTCGGAAAGAACTCACTTGGCAAGTGGTTTTCCTGGGGCCCCCTTTCCAGGGCTCTGTTTCCACGAGGCCTCTGTCACGCGAACTCCCCACCTGGGGACTGAGAGTGGCATGTGGCTCTGCGGGCAGCCGTAGGCCCCCTCTGGCTGGCTCAGAGAACGCAGGGAAAGTCATCCTAGGGTTCAAGATCAGAGGTTGCTAAGCTGTGTGCTGCTGCTCTTCGGTGAGCTTAGAATTTTTTTTAAATGGTTAAAAAGAAAATTAAAAGAAGAAAGTTTTATAACATGTGAAAACTCTGTGAAATGCAAATTCCAGTGTCCTGAGTAGAGTTCTATTGGTTGCACGGCTGCAGTCACCTGTTTCCGGGTTGTCTGGATGCCCTGATGCTGCAGCTGCAGAGCTGGATAGTTGGGTCAGAGACCCTGTGGCCCGTCAAACGCAAACCATCCGTTTGCTGTCTGGCCATCAACAGAGCTGGTTTGCCAACCTCTGATCCGATCTGTGCATTTCTCCTAAGGAAAGGGTAGGGTGGCGGGGATGTCACTGACTCATTCCTGGGCTGCCCCAGTCTTATGGAGGCCACAGGCAGGGCTTTGGGGCATCATTCCAAGTCCCCTTTGGGCACTGTCTCCTCCCCTCCCCTACCCCCAGGCAGAAGCCTCCTGATGCCCTTTGAAGACCGCGGAGACCTGGAGCCCCTGGAGCTGGTGTGGGCCAAGTGCCGCGGCTACCCCTCCTACCCTGCCTTGGTGAGTCTGCCCCAGACACCTGCTCCTTGTTCCCGGGCTGCTCGGTCTGGCCTGCCGTGCCTTGGGGCCTTGTCTGATTGGTTCTAGCCAGCAGTATGGTGGGGGTCAAGGTACCTTTAGCTGCTGAGGGGTGGGGGGCTTACCCTGGCCTTTGTGGGGCAAACCAGCAAGGCTCCCAGCTGGAAGAACTTTGGAAAGGCTGGAAGTGGCCAGATAGAGATGAGGGCTCTTAGGGTTTTAATACCACTTTTTAAATTTACTTATGCATTAAGGTAATATGCGCTTATTGTAGAGGATGGAAAACGCTCTTAACTGTGCTTAGATGTTTGGTTAAATCTGTCACACTAAGTCCTTGAAGTCCTGAGGAAAGTGTAGTTGTTCCTGTTTTGGAGGGAGGAGCAACCTGTTGGCTCTGGTCTCTCACCTAGGAAGCGGCAGGTGGGATTTGAGCCCGTGGCTCAGGCTGTGTGGTATCAAAGCCTGTGTTCTGAGCCTCCGAGTTCAGAATCAGTGAGTCCGCCTAGGGGTATGCTGGTGTGCAGCCAGCCTTGTTTGCTGCACAGATGTGCACGCATGTTGGGCCGCACTGTTTTTAATCTTCTTTTCATTTAAGGCACACGGTGCACACACACGACTCATGCCATCACACACTCCATCAGCGTCACTTAATGACCACGTCAGCTGTGCTCATGTGCTGTACTTTATTCATCCCCTGGCTGGCGACGTAGGTCATTTGAATTTTTCACTATAATAAACAGTTGGCAATAAACATTACCGTAGCTTTACCTTTGTGTATATCCGCGATCATTTCTTCACAGTGAATCCTTAAAGGTGCCTTCTAGGGGCTCGGTCTGGACAAAATTTGGATATATGTTGCCAGGTTGCCTGGACGTTCCGGTTTATAGTCCCATCGGCAGTGGCTGAGATTTCCGTGTCTTCCCCAGTAGCAGTAGCTAAAACCTGTTATGTCTTAGCTGCTGTTGCAGTAGGCGAGGGGGTCCACCCCACTGTGGACGGTGGTGCTGATTCTAAAGCTTGGGGGGCCTGTCAGAATCATGGCAACACATAGAGGGAGTCAGCTCCACCCCAGGACCTCTGAGGTGGATTCTCCGAGGCCAGAGTGAGGAGGCCTGTTTTTCCCAAAGCTTCCTGGGTGATGTGATGCCCCGGCGGGAACCGCCCTCCCGCTCTCCCAGCACTTTCCTAGCTAAGAGCAGCTGCTCCAGATACGCAGGGCAGGAACTCCCATCCTGGTGAGCAGGTAGAGAGAGCGTCCCGCAGGGGCTGCACACTTCCTGGAGCCATACCCAGTCTGGCTGGCCTGCCTCACTGTCCTGCCTCACGAGGCTGGAGACCCTCAGTGCCCTGTCCTTCAGGACGCGTCTTTAGATTCATTATCGTGACTGTTTTAATCCCACAATGCACAAACGTTGGTTCAAAACTAGTGGTTTTTAAAAATTACTTGTTTTGGATGGCATCAGAAGTGGAGCTCCTGCCCAGGACTTCATACATGCTGGGCAACACTGCCCCTGAGCTGCGCCGGATCAGGCTTCTTACTCAGGCAGTTTCCTTCTCGGGAGAGAAACTCAGCCCCACCTGCGTGGAACTCGCGGTGTTGGTGTTGATGCATGCTGCCCGGTCCTTTTCCTGTGCATGCCGCAGTGTGTATTTGCATACCGTTTTACTGTCTTATTTTAAATCTTTGTCTTTTGTATATTTATTTATGGTCTTTCTGAGACAGGGTCTCACTATGTAGTTCAGGCTGGTCTTGAGCTCACAACGATTCTCCTGCCTCAGCCTCCTGAGTGCCAGGATGACACGCGTGAGCCCTCACGCCTGGCTAAGTTTCTGTCTTTTTTAAGACAGATCTCACTGTGTTGCCCAAGCTGGACTGTGACTTCTGTGCTCAGGCGACCTTCCTGCCTGAGCCTCCCAAGTCGTTGGGCCCCTCAGTGTGTGCCCTGTGTTTGGTTGAAGTTCATGTCTTTTAAACAAATAACAATACTTTTGGTTTTTTGTACAAGTAAAATATAGTATATTATAAACAGTTTGGAAATACAGAGGGACAAGAAAGCAACCCAGAGCCCCCCGTTGCAGCACATGGACTCCGGTACCTCACAGCCTCCTTTTACGGGTGGGCCCCATGCTGCAGGTGGAGGGGTGTGTGCGTACCCATCATTGTCTGTCGTTTATCGCTGGCTGTGTTCCACGTCTGCATAGCCTTCACGGAGTGAGTGGACCATTGTTATATCTCCTGGGGGGCAGCCTGTCCTTGCTTTCGCTCTCAGGAAGGTTTCCCGAGTCCCTGCTCTATAGGTCGCTTTGTCATTGAGGAGGCTCAGAAGGGCCATGTGGCTGTCCTCGTGAGGACCCTTCACTTCGGCCCCGGATGGGACTGAGACTGGGGGAGCTTGGACCGGAACACACAGCTGGCAGTGGGGCCGGCACCGTTCTTTTTCAGAGTAGCCTCTTCCCGAGGGCACCCGCCTTAGCTGCCTCTGGAGAGGGCCATGGCAAATAAGGAGAGTAGTGCACTCTGAGAGGGTCCACGGGGACAGGGCGCAGGAGCTGTGCTTGCTCCGTCTTTAGGGAAGGCTGCTTCCCTGTTGCTGCCGAGGTCTCTGACCCGGACAGCTGCTCTGCAGAGGCTCACCTTGCCCAGGTGTCGGGTTTGAGTCCCAGCCACCACGATCTGTGCTTGGCTCTTTCCTGTCAGCGAACACCTGTCAGCAGGCTTCCTGGCATCAGCCGGCAATCAAGTGAGATGAGGTGTGGATTATTAGGAGCTCTGGAAATGTGGAAAGTGCCCCAGAGTCATGGAGAATTAGTGCTCTGCTGGTGCTGCCAGGCGTCTTGCCAAGCACCTGCTCTGAGCCAGGTGGGGGCTGCTGGGTGCTGGAAACAATCCCAAACAAGACAGGACTGGCCCAGTGTCAGTGGCTCCGCGCCATTGCCCCCTCCACCAGCCCTGTGGGCGCAGGCAACCAGCCGTGCACTGGGCCTCCTCTGAACCATCCCTGAGGATGGCATGCAGCTGCTCCAGAAGACGGAGTCCTGAGGTGGCAGCAGGGACGTCCCCTTGCTGATGCTGAGCCCTTGTAGCCCTGGTGCCCGGCAAGGCCTCTGAGCACTTGGGGTGAATTGTAGGCTCTAAATGGAAGAGTCAAGGAAATGACCTCACCCCAAAAGACCTTGAGAGAAAAGGGTTTGCCTGCCTGGCCAGATGTCACAGACCCCTCAGGCCCCCAGCTTCCTTGTGTTTCCCACTGCGGTCACAGCTCTGGGGCCTGATGGGCCGTGGAGTGGTTCCCTCATCAGGACTGGCTGGGCATGGCTGGAGGACCAGGCCAGGGCGGCAGAGCCACCATTCCCCCGGCTGTGCCCAGGGTCTCCTCCTGGACAGAGCCGAACCTCTGGGGGGAGGGGGTGCTGCAGGGGTGAGTCTGGTAGTGGTAGTGAATCTGGTAGTGGGGATCCCTGCTCCCCCAGCTCCCCTCCTGAGCACCTGCCTTCTCTTCTCCCTGCAGATTATCGACCCCAAGATGCCCCGGGAGGGCCTCCTACACAATGGCGTCCCCATCCCCGTCCCCCCGCTGGACGTGCTGAAGCTGGGAGAACAGAAGCAGGCAGAGGCTGGAGAGAAGCTCTTCCTTGTCCTCTTCTTTGACAACAAGCGCACCTGGTGAGTGCAGGGCCACCCGGGCAGGGACAGGCGCTGTGGTTACTGGCGTTCGAGGTCGTTGGGGGAATGGCACTTGGGGGTCTTGGGGTGCCAGCTGAGGCCGGTGGGGAGGTCACCGTGCTGAGCGGAGGAGGAAGAGCCACGGTGGTGCGCTCAGGAGTGCTGTTGGCAACCCTCTCCCCGGGAACCTGTGACCAAGCCTGCGGCAGCCTGGAGAGGGGCCCGGCTGTGCGCCCTGTGCAGGGGACTCAGGCACCTCAGTTTATGCACCTGAGGTGCCTTGGCACCGGCAGGAGAGTGCTGTCACCACTGCTCCACAGCGGGAAGGTGGGACTGCTGATGAGAAGGTGACAGGAGTGACCGGGTGTCCTCGTGCACACTGCTTAAGCCTACTTGAATCCTGAGGCCCTTGATCACTTGGGGAGGGGAGAACCGCCCCCCCATGGCCCAACCTGGGGTCCACACCAGGAGCTGCCTCTGCCGGCTGTGTTCCCAGCCATGGAAGAGTCAGCCAAGGGGTGTGAGCACACACACGCACGCATGTGAACAGGCCCCAGAGAGCCTGGCACCAGCCCCCCACCCCCAGCCACAGCTTGCCACACCGAGTTCCTCAGGGTGGCGGAGAGGCTTGGCCTGGCTCCAGGGACCGACAGCCCTCAGAGCGCAGAGGGCCAGGGGAGGCCCCTTGCCTGGGCATCCCACCCCATCCACTCTGCCCTGTACCCCTTCTCTGGTCCTTGCTTGTCTGGGGCGGAGTCCCAGAGGAACCCATGTGGGGTCCCCTGGAGCTCAGCCTCTGAACCTCGCTTGCATTTTAGGCAGTGGCTTCCCAGGGACAAAGTGCTGCCCCTGGGTGTGGAAGACACGGTAGACAAGCTCAAGATGCTCGAAGGCCGCAAGACCAGCATCCGCAAGTCGGTCCAGGTGGCCTATGACCGTGCCATGATCCACCTCAGCCGGGTCCGGGGTCCCCACTCCTTTGTCGCCTCCAGCTACCTGTGAGGGCAGGCCTGGGCCTGGTCCACCTTGGGGCTTGGAGAAGCCTCTCGTGTGACCGGGGGCTGGACTGTGTCCCCAACAAGGGCAGGCCCCATTGTCACTGTTCAAGCGGCTCCCTGGAGGGCAGGGGCCTGCTGTGTTCCAAACCCTGCCAGGCTGCCCCAGACCTCTGCTCTGCTGAAGAACCACTGGCCAGGCTCGGCCCAGCTGAGGAGCCCCCAGAGGTGAGAAGCTGGGCTCCCCCTCGGCCTGCCTGGCTCCCCATGCCCTCGGGCAGGCTGGCGGCCCAGGCTCTGAGCCTGACTCCAGAGATGCTGTGGCTGCTGCCCGCCGTCTCCCGCCCTGCGGCTGCGGGGCCCTGGGCTGGGCTCTCACTCCCCCCTGCCGCCCTTCCTGCATCTCTTGTGCCAAACTGACAAACAGCACCCAACCTGACCTTTTCTTTCATGTCTCATTTGCCTCTTGGGTCAGCTGCTCTGCTAGGTGGGTGTCAGGACCCAGGCAGCGGGCAGCACCCCCAGAACCCGCAGCTCCAGAGACCCCACCTTGCTGCGGGAGGGCAGGCTGCGTCCGCAGCCTGAGGTGGGGTCGGGGTGGCCTGGCCGCCTGCCCGCAGCTCCTGTCCTCTGCTCCTGGGCCTGAGCTCTGCTTTCACACCCGTCCCCTTCCCCTGCCCCTGCCCCTGCCCCTGCCCCCTTCACCTCAAAACATGGAAGGGAAAAGCAACGCAAAACAAAACTGTGAATGAGGATTGCTGACCGGCAAACGGCAACCTTCCGAGGCCTGGCCCTTGGATGTCCTCTCACCTCTTAAGCACCAAAGTTGCAGGGCCAGGGCCGGCTGCAGGCCGCAGATCGCCATCTTGATTTTTAACTCAACATTCTTTTTAATTGTTTTAAATTTTTTCATAGGGGAGTTTTGGACAAAACAAAAGTTGCCGGGGAGATCACTGCCATTTTTACACACTCAACTTTTTAAAAACAAAAGCAACCACACACCGACTTCTTAGACATTTGGGACACGAGCCAGAGTTGAAAGGGAACCAGCGGAACCCGCCGTGCATATGGGCGGGCTTTCGGGCTTTTTGTACAACAGTAACGAGACTGGTCCTGGGCAGGACACCGGGTGTACATAACTGTAAGATACCGGCCTGTCCGCAGGCCGCCCCGGCCCCGGGCACCTGTGTCCGCCCAGCCACCCCCCGCTCCCCCTGCGCCTGCTGCTCGGTCCACGTGTCCTCTCCTGTCCCCTCGGTCCTGCTGGGCCGGGCCTCCGCGTCTCTTGTCGCGTCTGCTGTGAAGCACACGATGCTCTATTTATTGTAGAAAGTGACTTTATTTGCTTTCTAGAATTGTTTATAACAGATGGTATAAGAGAGATAATAAACAAAGATCTATGCCTGTAAACAATAGAGAAGTTAATTTTACCTGCTCTAATGTGACCGTCGGAAACTTAGTTTCTCTCTGAGAAATAAACGTTCTGGGTGCCAGGTCACTGGGGCCGAGGATCCTTCTGCCCGAGCAGCCCCCCTCCTTCCAGGCCTGGGGGGAACGGGAAACCAGCGCAGTGGGGTGTGGGGTGCAGCGAAAGGAGCCCGAAGCATCCACCCTGCCCCTGTGGACCCTGCCCGCTGGCTCTTCTCTGGGACTGAGTGAACACAGGTGTGGCCACCTTGGCCGGGCCTGTGATGTCCTTTACGTTGAGGTCACTAATGTGAAAGTGGTCGGTGTGTCCACGTCCCTGGGCTCTGCCGCTCGCCCTGATCCGTGACCCATCTATAGTGCTGACGAAGGCCCGGGTGAGGGTCCCAGGTGTGGACAAGGGTTTGAGAGCCTGGCGTGTTTGGTCTCGGAAACTTCTAAAGAAAGCAGGACAGTCCTTGAAGATACAGGGCCGCCTGACTTAGGAATTATATCTCGAGTTTCAAAGGCAGTGACCAAATACGGAATATTTAGAATGGAGTTACAAGCTCTCTCTAAATGTCCTGGGGGAAAGGGAAGAGGCCCTGGCCTGGTTGGGAGCCTCTCCACAGGTGCAGCCGAGAGACTGAAGCCCTGTGAGCGCCAGAGCCCTGTTCCTGATGGCCGATCCAGGGAGCTACCGCAAGCTGGTGAAGTGTGTCTAGCTTAGAAGCCTTGTCACTGGCGTGTGACCCAGGGTAGGACAGATGTCTTAAAGGACCCTGGAGCCAGGGCAGGGCACGGCACCGGCTCAAGGCAGATGGCAGCACCTATTGGAGGATTTGAACAGGGAAGAGACTTGCTTGGAGCTCGGCTGCTAATTCTGCCTCAGAACCAAAAGGGAGGGGTTGGGGGGGAGTGTTGGGGAGAGGCAGAGTTTAGTTTTGGGTAAGTTTTGTTGCTTATAAAATCAGAAAAAAAAAAAAAAAGCTGTGCCTGGGGTTAAGAAAAAGGAGAGCCAGGCATGGTGGCACACACCTGTAATCCCAGCACTCGGGAGGCTGAGGCAGGAGGATCATTGTGAGTTCAAGACCAGCCTAGGCTATAAAGTGAGCTCAAGGCCAGCCTGAACGGCACAGCAAGATCCTGTCTCAAGACAAAAAAAATTATAGAGAAAGATAGGGGCTGCTGGTGTGAATATGGGGGTAGTGAAACCCAGTGGGCTGCAGAGTGGCCAGCAGGAGGCAGGTGGAAAGCACCTGGTCTGGTGCAAATCCTTGCCCAGGGTGATGCCTGAAATCCCACACTAGCACTCCTGCTTCTACCTGTCAAGGCCAAGATCCTGGGCTCAAGGCCATGACCCTATCAGTTTGCAGTGGGGGAGGGGCTGTGGCTCTTTAAAGGGCTGGCGGCCCAGGGTGGGTGAGGACGAGGGAGCTGGTTTTGATGAGGTGGAGCAGCAAGGACACTGGGTCCTTAAGGGAAGGCTGAAAGGACAGAGGAGAAAGGCTGCTGGCTGGTGGCCGGCCCTGCATTTCAGAGTCATGGAGCTAGAGGCCAGGGAAGACGAAAGCCGCTTCAAAGGCTTCACAGGACCTTGTGCAGGGAGTGAAGGTCGCAGATGAAAAGCAGGGTCAGGCAAGGAGCCCGGAGGGAGCCTCGCCTGGAACTCAGCTCCTGGAACAAAAGATTGCAGAGCCGGGTCGGCCAGGCTGCTGAGGCTGGCCCTGTCCCAAGGCCCAGTGGGCATCCTCAGGGACTGAGAGCTGGGGTCTGGGGTGCACATATAGTACAAGGGTACTGGAGTCCGGTTCCACCCGTGCCTCTGGCAGGGAAGTCTTCCCCTCTGGTCCTCAGCCTCCCAGTTTGCTCCCCAGAGGCTGCCAGTTTCACCAGCTCATGTAGAACTTTCTAGAGACCCTATAAAGAGAGAGAAAAAGAGAGAGCCCTTTTTCGATATAAATGGTAGCATTTTGTTTACAGTGTTCTAGGGCTCATTTTTAAAGACTGTCTTTATTAAACCAGGTGTGGTGGCACACACCTGTAATCCCAGCACTCAGGAGGCTGAGGCAGGAGGATTGCTATGAGTTTGAGGCCAGCCTGAGCTACCAAGTGAGTTCAAAGCCAGCCTGCACTGCATAGCAAAACCCTGCCTCAAAAAACAAAACAAAACAAAATCTTTATTAAATATTTGAGCAGGTAAAAGACAGTAGTTATAAAATAAAAAAGCACTCATGATATAATAAACCTACTCAGTATCTAGACCTTGTTCTAGACAAGGAAGCTGGACCTTCCCTCCCCTCCCATCCTCCTCCCCCCTTCTCTCTCCTCCTCTTCTCTTTTTCCCATTTTTTTTTTTTTAAATAGGCTGTGTTTCCCAGACTGGATTCAAATTCGCGTGGCCTGAAGACCCTATGATTCACTTTTCACTGTACTCGTTGAGGGCATTAGAGTTTGCTTTCAATTCTAGGCGCGTGGCTGGTGAGCGTGTTCTACAGGGCTTCTCGTGTTGGGGCTATGGGGTGTGGTGGGGTGCAATGGGGTATGGTGAGAGTTTCTCTGGAGCCCCAGGTTGCACAGCTTCTGTAGACAGTGACAAACCGTTTCCCACAGTGGCGGTCCTCACACACGGGTGCTCCCAGAGTTCTCCTTGACCATTTTGCACATTTCTAGACTGATTCGTGTAAAAATCGTTGGCCTGTGGGTGTGGGCACTCCCAGATGTGGCAAACCAGATGAAGTGCTGGTGCCCTGCGGGAAGCTAGGGGGCTCAGAGTGGGAAGCCGTGGGTGGTCACAGTGGCTGCAGCACCCACGCCAGCCAAGGGCTCAACCCTCCCAACACAGCAGCCAGGCTGCAGGCATGGGAGCTCACTCTGCTTGCAGGGCCTCAGACAGCGAGAGTAGCTTGGACTAGGTCCCGCGGCCAGGAAAGTGATGTAGCCGGGATTCTCAAGTCTCCGCTTTACCGACAACAGTGTCTCCCTCCCTGTCTCCTGCTCTCTGCCTCTCTTTCTCGGATGTCACTTTTACGTGGCTGTAAGAGACACAACGGTGGCACTGCTCTTTTTACCCCAGCTCCAGTGTTTTCCTTTGTAGTGACTGTGCAGGGCGCCTGTTTTTTTTTCTTTTTATTTTTTTCTCTCTTTTTTAGCACTGGAAATCAAACTCAGGACCTCGTGCTTGCCAGGCAGGCGCTGTGCCGCTGAGCTACATCCCAGCCCATGCCCCTGTCTCTTATAACTAGTTTTAGAATCTTCTGTGTGTGTAAATGAATGTATTCTAGAGACTCTCCTCCACTTTTTGGGCAAAAATATACTGGTGTCCTGTATGTGCTGTTTTTCTCCTTCTTGTTCTTGTTTTTTTTTTTTTTTTTTTTTTTTTTTTAGTGAGATTGTTTGTTTTTTGTCTTTTTGAGCCAGGGTCTCGCTATGCAGTTCAGGCTGGCCCAAGCTCACCTTGTAGCCCAGGCTGGTCTCAAACTCGCAACGATCCTCCTGCCTCAGCCTCTGGAGTGAGTGCTGGGATTACAGGCGTGCGCTGCACGTGCTGTGTTACTCGCAGGGTTTGCTTTGCTTCAGTATCTTCCCCTGCTGGCTCCCAGCTTGGGGCTCAGGCCACTCCAGGCCCAGGCAGAGGTGAACGCCCTGGAAGGGGGCTGGCTAAGCTCATGATGTCCCTCATTCTGTTGTCTCCAAATCTGCTCAGACTCAGCCGTGAAGATGCTTCTTCCTTCTGTAGCTTGAAGCCTCCAGCGTGTCCCCTCTGGGGGCAGGTGCCGTCTCCTGAGCTCCTGCAGAGCAGTCCAGCAGTAGGAGGTCACCAGGTACAGCGGGCTGCACGGTTCCCCCTGTGTCATCATCTCCTCACTCGGCCCTCAGACCACAGCTGGGGAGCCCTGGCAAGAGCCGTCACCCCACTGTGCAGGTGGGGGCAGCATGGTTTGCCCTGGGCCAGGACTGACCTTGGCTGCTTGGGCCGAGGAGGAAACCAGGGGCTCCATGCTCCCTCCGTCTCCGTTCCCCAGGCAGCTGCTCCGGTGACAGTGACGTGGGCCCGCAAGCCAGGGCTTGTTTGCCCACAAAGATTAGAAAGAGGAGGCGGTCAGGCCAACACTTCCTGATGCACACAATTCCAGGGCTTCTCAAAAACAGAAGGGTCCAGGATGCCACCATTGTTGCTGTCACAGGGATGGCGGTGAGGAGCGAGGGACAGAGCCCACGTGCTCTGCCCTCCTCCCCGTGGCCCTCGATCAGTGGCAGTCTGCCTGGGATGCTGGTCTCTGTCACCATGGATACAATTCCGAGCTCTCCCGATGCGGTGGCCAACTCACTGGTGTCATCTCGGAGGCCACAGGGAGGTCTCCCGCCAACCCTGCGTCCTTGTGCACTGCGCCATCAGTGCCCCCAGGCTCTGGCTCTCAGCCTCAGGCCTGGTGCCAACGGGCCGGCTTCTCCTCCCTGTAGTTCTTAGTATAAAAATAACACAGCTCCCCTCCAAATGCAAGGGGGTGCTGTCCCGTGAACTCCATCTTCACAGGCCCTGCTGGGTCAGCCCCGGCCCGGCTGGGGTCTCCACACTGACCTGACACTGCTCTCTGAATTCCCTGGGGGCTTTTAATGTCCACCTCCCCGTCCTCCTGCCAGCACCTCCAGCCTGGACGCTGAGGGGGTCCCCACCCGCTGGCCACCCCAAGACAGTCTAGCTTCTCAGATCTTTGTCCACCTGTTCCCAACTGCTCTGCCTTGGCCACTCAGTCCTAGGGTCAAGCTTGGGTCCTCCAAAGATGTCACCATGGAGCCCTTTCCAGCCTGACCTTTTGAGTCTTCCTCCTGGGGCCCCAGGGAAGGGATCAGTGGCTTCCCCTCCTTTCACAGCCCCTTCTGGTGCTCACAGCCCTGAATGCCATGGTTACACAGGGCTAGTCTTGTCTACACCAGCTCGCCACACCTGGAGCCTGCCGGCTGGTTCTCCCTCAGCACAGCCGCAACCAAGTTAGCCGGCAGGGACTGCTTCCC